TTGTTAAAGATTTAAATCCAAAAGCATCGATTTGATGCTTTTGGATTTGATCATAACGAATTAATTTATCAGGATTGCAAATTAGTCACACAGAAATAAAGCGGTATGAACATCGCCTACCTACTTATTCAGTCGAGTCTGTTACTGTTGATTTGTAGTCACAGTATATACATCACATTTAGAAAGAATTATTATTTCTATATTTTTATAAAAGCTCCCAAACAAAAACCATTATTATATTTTTATGACCTACGCGGAGCTAAAATCTCGAGACGAGACTTATGACAGATAAAATATGTTTCTAAATAAATACATGATTGTGATAGAGAATAAGAAGCTGACGTCTGATTTCTTCAAGTGGTCGTATTTACCATGTTTACTATGGTAACATTAATGGCTAGCATGCATAGACTTTTGCATCGCTTATAAATATTTCTGCCTTGTATGGTGATCATAATCCACATCGGATCAAGTTATTTCAAACACTCGCTGCTGTCTGAAAGTTAGTTTTGAACTAAAATTATTTTAAAAGTCTTTAATGCTGGTGAACTTTATGAAATGCTCCGCGGCGCTGGCGCTCTCCAGACGCGGAGAAACTCCGCCTTTGTTCATAACCACTCCTCTAGCGCCAGCTGGCTTGCTTTCGCCCAAGGTTTTCATCGGGCCAAAAAAACCGGGCCGTTGGCCCCGATGAAGCACTGACGAGGCACGATCAAGCCTTGGAAGTGACAGTGGAAACGCAACTGGCCCTGGCATGCACTAGCACGCCCGCTTTTGGCCCGACAGTGGAAACGCGGCTAATGATGCCTTTTGCTAAAAGCAGCCCACTGACTCTACCAATCCTGTTTAAATTCAAAATCTCAAACACTCAAGCTGTAGCCTGTAAACTTCTGTTGGAATACTTGTTTTGTTGTAGTACATCGCAGAATTGTTTGCGTGCATCTCTGCTTCTAATACTTGAAAGGGCCCCGCAATGGTCCATCTATATTCAGAATACCTCGGAGCTTCCAGGAGCTAATTAAAAAACGCCCTCCACACCAACACTCAGGTGCACTCCGAAGCAGTTTTGATTTCCCTTCCATAGAAAACAATAGTGCTGTTCAAATTTCATCTTTTGTTCAAGTGTTCCCTCATTTCTTTCTTCCATTTCTCATTTCTACCTCCTTGGCCTTTGGGATACTTCAATATATGGTATGTTATTGTAGCTCCTTAAGTCAGAATCATATTATGTCTTCACTGCTTTGCTTTGTGTAAAGCCAATCTATTCAGATTTTACTTGCTTGTTGATTTACTGATCAATTTATATATTTTTACGTAAAACAATGAGAAAATTCTGTAGGCTTTGTGTTCCCTCTTGGTCAAATCGATCTGACAGAGAAGAGTGAGTAGACATGCCTGTGGCAGTATCAGGTGGGCTGCAGAGTGCACAGTCAAGCTAAAACCAACCCATCAGTCCTGCTCACACATGCCTCTGATTGACCATCCGCCTCCAGCCTTCAATCAACTTCCACAGGGTCCTGCTACTTTCTCCCAGACCACGGGACAAGAAAAAGAGAAAAGCAATTTGGGCATCCAAAAACAAGAAATAGGCTTTTAATAATAATAATAATAATAGGCTCCCAAAAAATGCCCATATTTGATCTCTTGTTGCAGAAGGTAAATGACTACTGCAGGAAATGGCATATTTAAAAGTTTGGGGTTATTATTATTATTTTTAAAATCAAATTAATACTTTTATTCAGCAAGGACACATTAAATTGATCAAAAGAGACCGTAAATACTTTTACACTGCTACAAAGCATTTGTTTCAAATAAATGCTGTTCTTTTAAACATTTTATCAATCAAAGAATCCTTGAAAATACATCACTGTTTCCACACAAATAGTAAGCATCACAAATGTTTAATTTCTTGAGCAGCAAATCAGCCTATAAAAATTATTTCTGAAGGATCATGCGACACTGAAGACTGGACTAATGACTGCTGAAAATTCAACTTTGCCATCACAGGAATAACTAACATTTTAATATATAGTAAATACGAAATTAAAATCGTTATTTTAAATTGTTATAGGCCTAATAATAATAATAATAATATTTTTGCTGTATTTCTAATCAAAATAAATGCTCTGGTGAGCATAAAAGAGGCTATAACAGATGTCACTATATATAGTCAGAGGAACAAGTACAAAGGGAGACAAATAATTAGACTACATACTGCTGTATAAGTTGCCTGGGGCAGTTTGGGGCCAAGATGGTCCCCACATATAGTAACTGATGTAGTAGCTTTGATCTCTTGTCCACCCCCTCTTCCAACTCTCACATGGATCAACTGCAGCACAGCATGCATACACTTCTGTAAAAGAATTAATCTGTATATCTTTACAGCAGTTCTAAGGCATAGACTTTCTCTACATATGTAAAACTAAACAAAAAGCTCCTTTATTTGATCTGAAATTATATACAGTAGTCATGTAATGCTTAATCATACTCTAAATTCACGAATGACTCCACCATTTGGTGCAGATACACATGGATGCATTGGATAATATATTTTGTTCTAAATAGCAACTCTAATGCGCAGGATTGCAAGCTGGCTTGGGAGAGACTGAGTGGATTAAAGGGAATTTGGGGATTTGGGAAAATGGGAACTGGCGCATTTGGGAATCTAGGAATCAGCAGATTTGCAGAGGGCTTTGTGAAAGACACATGGCGAAGAGAAAGAGATAATGTGGGATGAAAATGAGTGTTTGAAGACAGAACGAGAGAGAGAAGTAGAAAGGGAAGGAAGGAAAAGAGACACATTGCTGATGGTGTCAAAAACAAGAAAACAACACTGGCATCTTTGCTGTGAACAAACACTCACACGACTATGCAGATGTTCAGTCTGACTGCAATGTGCTGGAATATGCTGATGAGCTATGAGGCATTATACACTACGCATTGGTATGTATAGTGCAAATACTGAGGTAATAAGTTTGATGACTTTTTTCTCATTAACACGGGTTGCAAATTTCAAAGCATTCTTTCATTATAGAAAGAATTGCTTAAACAAGACAATTACCATTGTAAACACAAAACCCCTACATTGGCTGCCAAAAAGTGGTAAAAACTGAGAGGAAAGGAGCAAAAAGGGCTCTGAGATTGCAAATTACTGCTGATGTCAATAATTTGTTTCTCTGGGCAACTTGGCAGCTGGAACCTTAATTGCGAGAGAAAAACACCTCCTCGCAAATCAGTTCTTTCCATCCTCTGAGAGTATCTGTCCACTTTGCTCTCTCTCAAAAGAAAAAAAAAGACAAAAAAGAACTAGAAGAGGAGAAGAAAAAAGACAAATGTTGAGGGGTTTTACCTCAGTCTAAAAAGTCAGTCACTTATTTGGTTTGTTAACTCTCCATCAATTTACTGCAATTTGTCGTAAATGTACGTCTTATGCTGGAGCACAAGTAATTTCCCAGAACACTTTAGTCTTTCCAGCTGGCCTCACTCTTTAAGTGAATCATAGGGTAAACTATTCCTGACAAGTCCTGATCCAGAGTGCAGTGGACTGATCATAACTAGGAGAAGGCAAGGACATGTCCTTAGTCAAGGTCTGGTAAAGCTGCACTGAAGTTCAAAGGCAGAAAAGACATCTCATTTTCACTGTATGGTACTTTGTAGTGTTAAAGAGGTAGTCCAGTCAAAAATGAAAATTCTATCATGATTTACTCACCTTCATGTCATTTCAAACTTGTCTGGCTTCCTTTCTTCTGCAGAACACACACAAAAAAGATACTCTGAAGAATATTTAAACTGTTTCTGTCCATACAGTGAAAGTCAGTGGGGTCCAGAACAACACTTGACCCCACTGACTTTCATTATATGCACAAAACAAGACAGTGTTTAAAATATCTTTTGTGTTCCACAGAAGGAAGTAAGTCATACAGGTTTGGAACAACAGTAAAATAATGAGTAAATGACAACAATTTCCATTTTTGGGAGAACTGTCACTAAGTATTGTAGTATCTACTATGCAGCACTGTAGGCGTGTAAAAACGCATGTCTATAGGTTCCATTACTCTATAGCAGAGGTCCCCAACCACCGGGTCGCGACCCACTACCGGGCCTTGGAAGAATTGCTACTGGGTCACGTACAAGCAATTTTAAACCACAAGAAGAAGAAGCGAAAGAGATTCGATTACTCACACGCTGTTCTCGCACACAATCAAAGCGCGCACAAGCAAACAGACGTGTTTCAGACAGCGCGGACACCCCACCCCCCGTCCGTGAGAATATTTTCCAAACGTAACCGTTCCGTGGTGTAAAAAAGGTTGGAGACCCCTGCTCTATAGAGTGCAGCAGTTGGGTTTCAGAAGTAAAATCACCATTCATTTTCTCCATAGGGGAATTGATTTTTAACGATAACTTATAAACCTTTAAAGACAGACCTACTGTGATCTATGAGGTTGCTAACTGAATTAATTACCTGATTCTGCAAAACAATCCCCACCAATCAGAGAATCTAAACAAGCAGATTTCGCCAAAAGAACTCATTAGCACCTGCCCAATCCCATGAGGCACTGCGAATGTTGTAGGGTGAGTCTCCCTATTTGTATATATTCGTAATATTTGTATATAGTGCATATTTTGCAACAAACATAAAATATATTGTTTCTATATCAATAATCAACATCAATAGTTTTAGACTTATTAATCATTTTTTATTCTTTTGATAATTTCTTTCACTATGCCTATTGGGATTATAGTTTCTTCCCTTATTAAAGATTTGTCTTTTTGTCTGATTTTCAAATACTTTTTGCTTTACATCAAAGTTTGTAATGTTGTGATTTACCTCGTAGGTGGTTGTTTTGGTTCATGGCTTATAACTCTTAAACTTCTTCAACATCCCTATGAGAAAATACTTCCTGAACCAAGGCTGCTGAAAAAGTGGATGGGCACTGTTGCACTCTACTCCCCTATTAGATATAACCATAATGCTTTGCTGTGGTGTGTCAGACACTCACCATCCTCTGTGGGCACATAGATGTTGAGGTAGAGACAGTCTTCGCTCTGATTCTGAATGTAGGTGGCGGCCACATCTAAGTTGTCGGTAAACCACACAGGCAGCATGATCTCGGGCAAAACACCATGCACATTCTGCGGGCAAACAGAGGCGAACTGTGTAGCGTTCCGCACTTCCTGCCAGGACCCAGGAGCTTCTGGTGGCTGAAAACGACGGTCTCCGATCGGCGCCGTGGCATAGGGGACGCCAAGGTACTGTTCCACGGGACCCAAAATCTCATTGTTAAGCTCTTTTTTAATCCCGCGCAACTTGCCGTAGTTTGTGGTGACGGTGGGATATTTGGTGCCGGGATCAATGCGTTGACATGATGCCAAGGTGATCCACAGTGCCAACCAGAGGAGAGTACTTGCGTGGGTGGTCTCCGAATTGCGGGCATGGCCCAAATCACGTTTACAGGCATGGGGCAGATACATGACTGTCTTGTTTTCTCCTTCTTCACTTCGCTGGTTTATTGACCTATACTTTGCTTTTTCATGGGTGAAGGACAAAGGAAAGTAAAACTATTATAACAAAATAAGAAAAAGTAATCCTGCTGGTTTGTTTTGTTCTTTCAGGGAGCAAGAGGGAGGACAGGAATGGGGGGACTGTGGAAGGGTTGGGGTGGACGAAGGGCAGAGGCTGTGCTCAGCCCTGGTGGGTTATCGTGGTAATGCCGCAGTAAGTAAAGAAGAAAAGTCTGTTACGTTCCATCTCCCTCAGCCGTCCTCATGGGGTCAGTTAAAGAGGTCACGCAGATGATTGCAGATCCTGTCAAGAACAACAAAAAGGGTAAGGGTTAGTGACTAAAGGTTAATTTACGAGTTGCTACCTTTTGCATGCACATATCAACCACATGGATTTGTACCATGTTGAATGCTGCAACCTAGATTAAAGGGATAGTTCACATGAAGATGAAAATTCTGTCATCATTTACGAACCCTGATGTCATTCCAAACCTATTTTCCTCCGCAGAACACAATAGAAGATATTTTGAAGATTGTCTCAGTGTTTTTGTGTCTATACAATGAAAGTCAATGGTTTACATCATAAAGGTGTGGTCATATTTACCATTGCTCAACAACATTTCATGAAATCAAGTCATTTCAACAGGAATTTGTGTGATCGGGGGCTTTGTGTGAGAGCGAAAAAGTTCTCCAAGCAGATTTCGCTTGTGTTCAAGTTGGTAATGTAAATTTGCCATGTTGACCAACAGAAAACTGCTTGGTTTGAAAGTGACTGCTATGTGAGCAATGATTCATACATCACTACACTATTAACAATAGACAATGAAGCTTTATTTGCCTGTGAAGTTTGCTAATGTTTTCATGAGCAAACTTCTGTTTTCAAAATTGTGTAGCTATTCAAATAACAAGCTATTTTTGCCAGCAGTGTTGCGCGACATGCCTGTTTTTATGTCATACTGTATTGGGCAAACTGCCTTACAACTGAGCAAGCTGAGGCAATAAAAATCTATTCCCTCTCTCATGTAGTGCTTGGATGTCTGATTCTTTAGGTGTATTAGACATCATAGTAATAGACACTCTATTTTTCAAATCAGTTAAATGGCAGTGTTTTTGCTGTTTCTATTAGTTGTATTTTGCATAAATGTATGTGTGGGATACTTGTTTTGTAGCAGTTGTGGTTGGAAAATGAACACATTTTCCTATTTGTTTTAATTTCTATCTTTATTTTTTAATTCCTGACAAATTAATTGCACAGTCATCACTCACTCTGTATTGTTAAAAGCGCTATATAAATAAAGGTGACTTGACTTGACTTGACTCACAATTACTACTAATAACAACAGTATATTACAAAGCAGAACTTTTTTCTTGCAATAAAAAGCAATTTGATGAGATATAAATATATAATAAATAGATGTAATTAATATTAATAATAGGAGTTAACTATGTGTAATAAGAGGCTGACCACACATGAAGTCCAAAAGCAGCAGCAACTTTCTTCAAAATATCTCCTTTTGTGTTCCGCAGTCATACAGGTTTGCATCTACTCGTTTTTAGGCAAACTATCCTATCCTAAGCATCTTGATCAAAATGGTGATAATAACTGAAGGATTTCCAGGAGGTTTGAACTTACAACCTTTTAGTTTCTAGTCCAGATCTTTAATGACAAGGCTAGACTGCATTTGAGACAGAAAGAAGTGAAAAATTCTATAACATTTCCCATCAAACATGAATGGTTTTCGATGTTTATATGTAGCTTAAAAATGCAATGACTCAGCAGTTATAGTGCCTCCTGTAGTGCTCTACGTCTAAACCTTGGAAAAAAGCAATACTGCGGGCAAATGACAGCCCAGACGACTCGTTCAGGGCATTATGAGGATAATAAACACAATAAGATAGAGACAGGGAGGCAGCGATGCAAAGGAAAACATCTCGAAACACCCACACAAAGAGCCTCTATCAGTCAGTTGTGACTAACAAACTAAAAATAGATGTTTTAGCTCTCACATCCTGAATGAAATCATCTGTGCGGATATGAAGTCTAATTAAGAACCGACGCATTTCGTCGTGAATGCATCTTTTGTATTTTAAAGCCTCTAATCGCCTGAGAGAGCTGATTGATGCTTTAAAACTTTGATGTTCGTTTCACATGGTGTTAGCATTTAGCCAAGAGCGCTTAGCTTAGACGCTTAAGCATTTTAATGGTTAGCTAAAACAGAGGAGAGAGAGATTTATGTGATGTGAATGGATTTAACGTGGGTTTAGATTTGAAGTCCGGACAAGATGGAGGGCAAAAGGTCAAGCATAAGTAGTGAGATGACAGGAATGTCATATATAACAGCACTGAAGGACACAAATAGGTGCAGACCAGGGACATTATAAAAGGTAGGAGGAGAAACAGATAGAAAATTGAATGAGAAATCATAACACTCAATATGGCTGCCGTACAGATGGATTCAGCATTGTCATGACATCATTTCCTGTGGCTCCAGAGCTGAGGTGATTGGCTCAAAAAAAAGGGCAACGATGGCAGATTTCAAACCGCGCAACTGCCATTGGGAGGAATGGGAATGCTAACAGAGAGCTGTCTGCAAGTATTATAGATCTCCTTGGTGCAGTAAATGTGGATGGCAAGCTATTTAAAAGGCAAAACAATGCTTCCTCATCATCATCACCATCATCATCACCATCATCGTTAATGTGGCAACAATCATCATATGGTTTCTGTACCCAATATTTAAAAAATGTACAAATGCAATAAAAATATTGGTATCGGTACTCGGTATCGGCAAGTACCAAAAATAAAAGTATCGTATCGGGCGAGTACTGGAAAAAGTGGTATCGGTGCATCCCTACAAAATATTATACAAAATTGTATGATTATCTGATACAATTATATATTTTAAAACCGTCATTTACTTATGTTTATTAATTAATATTTCAATGTACAATATATCATGTAATATAAAAATATTAACATAAAATATATGCGTATGCATATAGCTTTTGTATGCATTAAATGTTGACTAAATTACCTTCAATAAAATAATTATACAATTAAATCTATTTAAAATATAATATATACACGCCTTTATACAAAATGGATTGACTGTAAATATTTAAAAAACAATTTACTTATATTTATTAATATTGCAATTTCATACAATATTTTTTTATAATATATAAAATAAAATTATTGTCTGTTGCACCTTATACATCTTCAATTTACAACATAAGCGTATTTATTTTTCAAGTTGCAGAGTTCAATGGTAGCCTATAACAGGAATGACCCTGCCAATAAAACTGAAAACCCTCTTTCTCTATATTATTCCTCCAATAATTCTTCATCGTCCGTCTCTCTCTCTATGTGTGTTCTGTGAAGTGTAAAATAGAAGAGGATGACTCTGGGGTTCTAAGGAGAGTCTTGGGACCATTGACAAGATTCTCTGGCTGCTCTTTAATTAAACCTTAGAGACTAAACATACTGCACAACACACACACACACACACACACACACCCAATCACGCACTAAACACACTCTTCTTAATAATACACCCGAATTGATCAGGAGAAAAGCAGGACTGAGTGAAAAATACTAGAGAGCATGAGAAAGATTAGGGAAAAAAGCATGACAGAGATTAGAGATGGAAATGAGTGGCAAGAGCATGGCTAGCTTCTGGTCAGTGTTTCGTAAGTAAGTAGCAACACTCTAATAACTCAATAACTAAACTGCATTCTCAGTAGCGTGACCGAAGTTCGGCTGTTTTCAAAATTGTGTAGCTATTCAAATAACAAGCTATTTTTGCCAGCAGTGTTGCGCGACATGCCTGTTTTTATGTCATACTGTATTGGGCAAACTGCCTTACAACTGAGCAAGCTGAGGCAATAAAAATCTATTCCCTCTCTCATGTAGTGCTTGGATGTCTGATTCTTTAGGTGTATTAGACATCATAGTAATAGACACTCTATTTTTCAAATCATTTAAATGGCAGTGTTTTTGCTGTTTCTATTAGCTGTATTTTGCATAAATTTATGTGTGGGATACTTGTTTTGTAGCAGTTGTGGCTGGAAAATGAACACATTTTCCTATTTGTTTTAATTTCTGTCTTTATTTTTTAATTCCTGACAAATTAATTGCACAGTCATCATTCACAATTACTACTAATAACAACAGTATATTACAAAGCAGAACTTTTTTTCTTGCAATAAACAGCAATTTGATGAGATATAAATATATAATAAATAGATGTAATTAATATTAATAATAGGAGTTAACTATGTGCTCTGCCAAGTAATAAGAGTCTGACTTACTGTATGGTTACCAAGCAACAACTTAAGAAACATGCAGCTCCTCTAAAACATAATTTAGAATCAGAATTACGCATTTTTACAAATCGTTTGCAACTGCTAAATCCATAAATATACCTACCTTCTAAAGTAAATGAAAAACCAAAAAATTAAATAAACATTCAACAAATATCGGTTAGGTTATAAAAATAATGAGCTTTTTAAAATATATATTCCATTTTCTTTTTAATTTAGGTTTTGTGTCATTTTTATTAGTTTTAGTCATTTTAGTACTTTAAATTAAGTTAGTTGCCAAAATGTTTAGACTATGTTTAAATTTTTCATCATTAATTTATTTCACCTTTATTTCAATTAACAACAATTTTACTACAGCTTAATTGAAACCTTTTTAATGGTTATATTTTTAGTTTTAGTTAACAGTAACAACACTGGTTACATACAATCACACAAAATATCTGCACTTATCTGAATGAAAAGGATCTGAGAGCTAAAGTTGAGGAATAGTTTACTCAAAAATGAAAAAAAAAAAAGTAATAAATTATTCATCCTTGTGTTGTTCCAAACCATTATGAGGTGACAAACCGTTCTGCAGACCACAAAAGAAGATATTTTTTTAAATATAATGAAATGCCCATATAATGAAAGCCAAAGGGTAATATGATGAAAGAATTCTCATTTTTGGATGAACAATCCCTTCAAAGTTCTTGACCACACCTTTTCTTTTGTGCAAAAGTCAAATAGCCAATAATCAATTAGAGAAAATGCAGAAGTAAATCTATTCCAAATAATTCAAAATATCGGTTAGGTTATAAAAATAATGAGCTTTTTAAAATATATATTCCATTTTCTTTTTAATTTAGGTTTTGTGTCATTTTTATTAGTTTTAGTCATTTTAGTACTTTAAATTAAGTTAGTTGCCAAAATGTTTAGACTATGTTTAAATTTTTCATCATTAATTTATTTCACCTTTATTTCAATTAACAACAATTTTACTAC